GTAATCTACCATTGGTCTACAGCGTCTTCTAAATAGATTAGCGAATTACTGTAAAAGATAGAGGTTAACAGTAAATTTGAATAAATCAAAAATTTTTGTTTTTCGCATATCAAGTAGACTAAAGAAATCTGAAAAGTGGTTTTGGAATGGGAATGAAATTGAAATAGTTTCAAAATATAACTATTTGGGGGTTCTCTTTTCTAGTTCAGGTATCTGGTATCAGGCCCAAAAACACATTGCTGAACAAGCATCGAAAGCCATGCACAGTATTAAAAGTATTCTTTATAAATATGATGGGTTCAAACCAGCTATTGCATTTCGCGTTTTTGACTGCAAAATTCTCCCAATCCTGCTTCATGGCAGTGCAGTATGGGTAACACATAAATCTTACGATATAGAAAAAGTTCATCATAAATTTTGTAAATTTGTTTTAGGGGTACACCCATAGGCCACAAACTCTGCTGTGAGGGGGGAGTAGGGAAAACATCTAATTAGAACATATGTGAACAAAGAAATAATTCGGTATTGGTTAAAATGTATAAGTGCTGATTCCTCTGTTTTAGTAAATGAATTATATGGCTATCAATATGGACAACATATGTTAAGGATTTGTTATGTAATTTTGGTTTTGCACACATATGGGAAAGCCAGTATGTGAATAACCCAAATTGTTTTCTGCTACAGTTTAACCAACGGTGTCTAGATATTTCCCAGCAGTGGCATGATCAGATTGGTAATAGTTCAAAATTATGCATTTATTCTAAATTAAAAAATTATTAGCCGGGGAAAAATATCTGGATTCTATCACCATAAGTGTTTTTGGGAAATCTCTCACTTGTTTTAGATTAACTGCTCATGATCTTATGATTGAAAAGGGTAGGGCATTGGGAATACCACTTGACCAAAGATTGTGTTGTAATCACATTGAAAACGAGTTCCACTTTCTATTACAATGTCCCAAATTTGAGGAAATTGGAACTCGTTTTATACACACGTTTTACTATTGCCCATCGCTTGAAACGTCATAGTTTGTTGGAAGGAAATTTAACTGAAATATAAATATAATTTGGTATTCATAGGTGAAGTATAAGTTTGTAATATTCAGACAAGTAGTAGCAGTGGTTATTCTTGTCTATTTATTTGTGTTACATTTAAGTGTGTACATGGCCTATGGCCAATGGTACTGAATACAAATATATTATTATAAATATATGCCCAAGCTTCGCAGCCACGTTCCTAGTATCAGCGAGATGAGTTGATATTATTCTAGTGTTATCAGCTAACTACTGACACTTCGGAGTACGCTACTGTTTGGTCCCATTCCTGCTTACACCATCGATTCAAAACTAAATCAGTTACCATCTTCACAGAATTGTATTTCATTTGCATTTGATTAAACGACAATTGCTAAAAGCACTTGAAGGAGTCCCCCCGCCCCACGAGAGGTATTGCGTGTGTAGACAGACAGGGTCGCTTATCGCGTCGTAATCTGGAAAACTTGAACGTTACTTGAATGATCTTTCAAATGACCTAACTTGATTTTACTGTAAAGCCATTTATTTTTACTGATATTTTGGTGTTTGTAGCATATTCACTATGTTTTAAATTCACGAATTTGTCAGTTGAATTAGTTTTATTGTTAGTTAACATTTTCACATAGATTTAATTTAGCGGATTTTACTTATCAGCGAAAATAGTAAAATTAAAACCCAGTAAATAATTAATGCGTTTACAGTATTTCTCAACAGAAGTATGAGCTTGATTTGTTCCTTGATATATAGTTGCAGAACAGTTGCTAGTTGCGTCCCAGTTTATTTAATCAATATGTAAATTAAAATGAAGTTTTCAGTCGAGCTGTTCCAGCATACCTAGTGCAACTTTTCGTCATCTACACGAAAATAATACATAATACATGTTCTGTCCAGGCATTGTGATGTACCGTGACAGGCCACTTACAAGCCTGGGGATTTTGATAGCAAATGAAACGTTTCACAAATAACGCGTTTTTATTCAAAAATACAAGCCTGTCGGTCATCGCGTCGTGTTCGGTTCCGCACTACGTTTACAAATTCTACCGCTCTGGTCAGTGGAATGAAAATAATTGGATAATAATGAAGTCCTGCTACTGATTTCTATTTGGCAGAAGGAATTTTAGATTGATACACGCGGAACCTACCCTGATAGCCATGTTTACGGGATTACTGCACAAAAAGACAAGGAATTGAGGTGAGATAAACCCGCAGAACTGTGCGTAAAACTTTTGAAGTCGATATTCAAAGAAGTAATTGACAGTAATAACTGTAGTGGAAGGGTACGAATATGTTCAAACACGGATCTAACTACAGAGAGGGTGCTGCACAGGCCTAATATACAAATACGCCGGCGCTTTTAATGTCATGTGATCGCAAAAAAAATACGCCACTGTAGAGCTATTGCGAACACTGTGGTCTCACTGGCCCTACAACGGCGTATTTCTAGCCCGTGTGAACCAGGTAATTGTTTACATGATATTCGAACGTGAGCTTTATGGCGAATGGTGCGAAGTTTCAAGTGCGGTGGTTGTGCGTTTGACAGGGGTCCCACACTACGCATGCAAGTCAAACACGTTACTTTGATTATTTTTCACAATTCGAAGGTATTCCAAAAGACGATCAACAATCTAAATTGTTAAAATAATAACTATTGACGATTTTACAAATTTGCATTTTGTAAATTCTCGTTCAATTACACGACTCTAATATATTAGTATAAAAATAGCCACGTAATTTATATTTTAAAAGTAATTGTCATGTCACCGCTTGTCTCACGACAAAGGTTTTATTACATTATTATTATTATTATTATTATTATTATTATTTTGATAAATCTGTATGACATGGTTACATGTCGGTATCACATACGTCTACATGACATAAGGAGTTTTTCCCATGACATAATATAAAGTAGTAAAATGTTAAAATCTAGGCTGTCTGGAACGCTATTTCCTGCATTTTGATGGGCAACCTGATAGCCTTGTTTATTGACAAGTACCGATGACCTGTGAATTCGGGCCACTCTCGATTAGATATTTCCAAACTGGATGCTTTTCTGAGGATATTGGAGGTAGAACGCCTGACAAAATTGTGTGTCCATTTTGTAGGAGTTTGAGCTCACTAACATGTGATTTACTGGCTAGAATTGTATTACAAATGTACATACATATGGTTTCAACAAATTAAATTAAACAATATTTTGATCATTGCAACCTGTTTTTGGAGAAGGTCGCCCAAATGCTAACATTGGCTTTCTAATATTATGAAACGTTACAGTGACATATGTGTAATAATTATTAAACATATAAAGCTGTTACAATTATTCGACAATGACAAATCACGTCACTATTTATGTTAAGTAGCCATGATAGTTCCCCTTATATCAGACCAAATAAAAAAATAAATAACACGAAAAAGTAATAATTAGGTTCAGAATGAATTGCGCCACTACATTTATGATACTAATTTTAAATTCAATAAAATGTATACAACAGACCCTGAACACAATCTTTTGTTATGGAACACTGATATTGAAAACAAAATAAATGTTATCAAAATAAATGTTAACAAATAAATAAATATAACTGTTACAGTGAATGCAGTTTAAATGTACAATGTTAAAATTATTTGTGTTTTCCCTGATTAATATACAATTGATTTGAGATCACGTGTCTAACATTCTGAACAATGTAAATTTTTATAAAGTCTAACATGTCACAAATATTCATATTTGTATTCTCGTTATCTCTTCATTAGCATAACACTTGTCACTACTTTAGTAATGTATCTCTTCATTAGCATAACACTTGTCACTACTTTAGTAATGTATCTCTTCCACTGAAATAGAGCATGACCTTTGCTGAAGATATTATCGGAATTTTGGCGTGATTTTATTTCTTAATTCCCTGCAAATAAAAAAATAATACAATCGTTATTATTCGATATATATTTATTATTATTGTTGTTAGACATATATTAAGCAAAACAACAATTTCCAATATAACCTACAATATTGATTTTGAAATATTTTTCAACTAGGATTAATTTTACCTTTATAATATTAAACGTGCATAGAAATCACATATAGTTAATACAAATTTTCGGATGTACTTTTATAATGTGGTCCATTTCATTTTTTCCTCTGAGAATGTTAATATACATGTAACCGCACATACACTATTATCGCCTACTACTACCGCGTAATTTAACCATTAACAATGAAGGTATCCATATATCTATATTTGTGTTTAATCTAGAGCTGCATTCGCATTGTGTTTTTGCTTCAGTGTGCGTAAAGAACAAACGGGATGTAGTGTATTGCCAATGTCTATGTGTCTGTGTGTGTGTGTGTGCGTGTGTCAAATTGTCTTCAACCTATAACTCTAGAGCTGCATGCTGGTTTGAAAAGACAGCACACAGCTCCAGACCTGATTAGATGTTGGTGCGACTCAATGCACGTTGATTAGGTAGTTTCCATAATAACTAACAAGTTTTAGCATTTTCATTTTGTATCTGGGCATCTGTAATATTGTATCTGTAGTACATGGTTTGTTTTTAATGGTTGGCAGTTAAAGATGCTATTTGTGTAGAGTAATATCTTAAAACGGTTTTAGTAAGGCTATGCATAACATTTAGCTAATTAGCTAATTAGCATGTGTTCTACCTGTTTATTCTGTATTCTTACGTGGCTTGAAATTTGGTACATGTGTGTGATTAGTTGAATGTCAAACCTTAGTTTGATATTAGTCTACTCAAATTCAAATATTAATACTTTTTATTTATGTATTAAGCCAATATTTTAAAAACAAGTTATATTGCCCTTCCTTATGCGAACACAAAAACACAATACGTTTGTGTTCAGTTGAGCAATCGACTGTTCACATTAACTACTACGACTATTATATCAAATATGAAGAGTAAATGACATTTCATATTAATTTCAGTCCCAATCTAACGTAACAACAACACTTACACATTTTCTTTTGCATGATATACACATAGAGCCATGACAACCACAGCTATAACACCTACAATAAGAATGGTTATCGCGGTAGCTACAAACGCAGATATGTCATCTGATGTTTCATCGTGTTCCTGGAATAAGCAAATAGCACATATATAAAAAAACCACAACAACTGATATGAATATATTAATATTTTCTATGAACACAGTGTTTAGGATGTGATTTACTATGTATCAATACAGTATACTCCTGAACTGAAACCAAGTTTGCGATTGTCAAATCAACAATTATAGCTGGGCTTCATTATGGAATTATTTCATGCAAAGAGAAGGATTTTTTTATTAGCAAATATTTTGAATTTATACATTTTTTTGCATTATATGAAATTTGTTAAATTCATAACTTATGATTTTATATCCGGCGATGAATGACGATAGATACAGATAGTAATAATTGTAAATTAATTGTATTTATATAATCACTTCAAGCCAGTACTGTGGGATGTTACGTGAAATATGTGCTCACCGGTGCTCCGGGCAAAATTGTTATTTCAACGTAGGTTGTCGAAGATGTATCATTTGAATCTTGAGATTCATCAATTTCATTTGCCTATGACAAAAGACAAATTAATGACAACACTATACGCATAATAGATTTGGTTTTGTACTACTATTACTAAATGCACGCCACAAACGGCAAACGTTCTATATATAGTATTTCTGCCATGAATTGGGGGAATCACACAAGGAAGACAGCATCATTTGTTTAAATAGCGAAACGTGCCTTACCATTATTTTGAGGCGACGTTCTCCTAGACTGTTATTGCTCAATTGACGTACCAGGAATATTTCACCAGTTAATGTATTGATAGAAAAATCATTGACTGAACTGTTGCTTGAGGAATCTTTAAAATAAAGCACATTCATGTCAATTTGATTAATATAACAATGTCCATTATATATATATTTACACGAGCTGGACAATATTTGATTGAATGATACATTGTCAAGGTAAAATTAAAGAATGTGTTATATACATAAAAACTTGTCTTACCGTCCACGAATTCATATTCCACGGGTCTTTTTTGTGATTCGTCACCGTCTGTTGCAAATACAGTTATTATTGATGTATTCTGTACAATTGAAAATGTCAAATACAACATATACTCATTAAAATAGCAATTATGTAAACGTTTAGCTATGATGATATCTCACGAGTGAACCTACAATATCAGATTTATCCTCATTATTTTTAGTAAATCTGATATCGTATTGTTAACATTTGATATACTGTTTATTCCACTGTTTCGGAGCTTCTAAAAGCTAAAAACTTAGCCAGTAATGGTATTTTTGTGGCGCGTATTCGAAACATCTGAACGACTTCTTGTTCATTTACATAACAGAGTGATTTCGCGACCTATTACCATCAGTTTTTTTTAAAAAATGTGGTTATTTCCCACTATTAGTTATGTAATCACTTTAGCGGCGTTTGAAAACATATTCGCAGCCAAGGTTCGTTTATTCGGCCATCACTTCACCTGGCCTGGATCCATGCTGTACGTCGAAAGAACTGGCGAATGAAATCGACTATCATTCGACCAACTGTAGTCTCTTTATTTCAGTACAAGGCCACCATTCTTTGCGATTCAGCAAAACAAGCCTACCAATCAGACCTATGCATTTTACAGAGGTAAATAGGCGACCTCTCGGTAGAATCCGGAACGGGTTCGTGGTGGTGTATGTTAACTTTCAGCTCACGGAAACAGAATAATTCGGACGATGGGGAGAGAATGGAAATCAAGTTTACTGCTCCCCTCACTCTCAACAATTCACCGTTTTATACAACTCTTGGTAATGTGACCAAATGTTCTGGCCGTTGGTTATGACATTTCCCTCGGTACGCAGTATATGTTTACATGGTGTTGCCTCGTAGCATTTAGCCTCTTTGTGTTCTACACTCCTTTCATTCAGTTTTATTCACGAGGTAGCTATTAAGCAGAGTATTTTCAAAGTTTAAATAACAATAATAATTTGTGTATTGCAGTAAGCATACTTCATTACATGCATAGGGGTGAAACTTGCCACCCTCCCCCAGGTACATTCGAGCATGTGGTGGGTGCAGATTTTCATAGGTTTTCAGTCCCGTCTTTATTCAGGTTTTTATTTCTGTTTTTTCTGTGCCGCTTACAGGGATCACAGTTTTTACTTCTATGTACGATAGTTGCTAGTGTTCAATTTCATTCAGCTCTATTTCCGAGGTAGCTATCAGGCAAAGTATTTTCGAAGTTTAAATAACATTATTTATTGCAGTCAGCATACTCGTAGATGTACAACTCCATAACATGTATAGGGGTGGAACCCGCCACCCTCCCTCAGGCGCATTCGAGCATGTGGTGGGTGCAGATTTTCAGACGCTTTTACTCCCGTCATTATTCAGGTTTTTATTTTTATTTCTGTTTTTTTTTTTTTTACTAGTCCATGTACGATCGTTATTAGTTTTCAATTTCCTTCATCTATGTATACGTAGTTTGTACACAGATTCGTTAATAAATCTCGAGATCCGTGTACTGCTGGTAACGGTATTACGCTCTGATTATCCGTGTGTGCGTGGCTTCATGGTTTGCCAGTGTGGTAGATTATAAACTACATTTTAGCAATTACACACATGTCTCTTCGCCTGATTGCTAATTGTTAATCTGCCACACGTGTGGCATATTATGTAAACCGCCTTCGGTCTCGTGCGCTTAAAAACTCCGGCATTTGCAGTTGTAAGCGCAATCGAATTCGTGCAATTAACTATCCAAATCAGAGGCTACATCCAGGGATTGTGTTTGTGTCTAGCACCAGCAGTATCTACGACATGCGTGAGTTGAAATACAGTGGTCAGCGGTGTGTGTTCGATAAAGGCACTATCATATATACAACGCATAACAACGTGTATGTCCAAATTGTCAATAGCGGCGTGTATTTACAAGGAATATCTTCTATATTTGCAAGGAATATCGTTGAATTCGAATTCCAATTTTCCACTACTGAGATTGTTATTGCGCATGTATGCAATGCATTATGGGATAGACGCTCCCATTGTTACCATTGGTTAAACTGTATATCATGATTTTTTTCCCATGCACATACTTTAGATATTAAGTAATAATATCGCCATAGAAACTAGTATAAACATGTCAATGTTGACCATTTTAATGACATTTTGTTCCAATGATAGCCAATTTTCGGTGTCCTCGATTGCATAATAAGGAAAGTATGACAAACAAAAACATATATAAATTTCGGTTCTATCTTTCTTGAATATACTTACAACTGGAGTTGTGTCATATACCAACGCAATGTAAGGTTCTCCAATCCAATATGGCGGCTCATCCTGTACATCGACTACATTTATAGTCGCCGTGGTAGTACTAGTCAGTTGCGTGTCTTTGCCATCATCCTGCAAACAAATTTATAAATAAGCGAAACGAAATTAATTGACTTAAATAGCAAAGAATTTAATTAAATACACATAAAATAATTGAATTTGAGTTAAATCAAATTAATTGAATTATGAATTAATCAGATTGAATTGATTATTACTCTTAATTTGACCAAAAATTGAGCAAGAACAAATAAAATATTTGCTGGCACAGAAATGTTATGGCATAAATTGTCTTTTTTGAAATATTGATATAACTATTGTTAATAATAGCATTCGTTACCTTGACAACTATCAACAGCTCGTACAAGACTCTAGCTTCAAAATTCAGCTTCATCAGCATAATAATATCGGCTAAAATAGTTCTTCCATCAGATGACACATGTTGTGACAAAGAAAACACATCGCCAGTGCTCTGTAACATTATACAATATTGTATATTGTAAAATTTATTTTCAATATTTTTTAAATTAATACAATTGCTCAGATGGAACGCACTTCACTTGAAACTAAATTGTGCAAATCATGGTAAAATTGTGAATTTAATTTATTGAGAAATACTCGCAAAACTCGCACTTTTCTATATAATATCTCAAATTGCTTATTTCATTAGCTGAAAATTGGTCTTGCACTTATATTACATTTGCTAAAGTTGTAATTTCACAGTTTTATGCGTAAGTGTCCTTAGTGAAACAGAAATCATCAAAACACATAAATCTTAATGAATACTTACATTTTTCTCAGTCATGGACAATGTTATACGACCGTTAGCTCCACTGTCGATATCTGTGACGTTAAATGACAACACTGTTGTCCCAGCATGTTCATTCTAAAAAGACACGTGTTACTCTTTAATTTTCATTTACAAATAACCAAATTGTAAAACACTACAACTGCCGGTCACGTGACGATGGG